GGAAAATAGTGATTAGCTCAGCGCCCATCGATGAACCAGGATTGGGGCAGCTGAATCTCAGGGATTGGAACGGCGACGACGCGAAGGCTTCACGACACCTGAGGACCTGTGGAACGCCCTGGATCGTCGAGGATCGACCCAAGGAAGCGTGGGAACCTCACACCATCGAGGGACAGGCGTCGTGAGCCAGGAGTGTAAGGTAGATCATTTTTCCCTCCCATTACCCCTTGTATGAGTAGGCTAGTTAGGCCACAATATTTACTCGTGTATGTGGCAACAAGACTTTATTACTTTAATAGTAGAATAGGCTGCAAAGCAGCTTGTGTCCAGGACTGTCAGAGAGGACAGTGTGTATGGATGGCAGGACAGTGAAGAAGAGGTGCCGACGTGGTGAAGAGGCCCTCCTGTGAGAGTGTGAGACTCCTGTCTTCCTGCCCAGTTGAAGGAGAGTTGGAGGTCGTGGAAGAAGAGGCTGACGATCTCCAGACTCATCATCCATATTCCATATTCATGTATTACTTGTGATTGTGTGTGTGTGTTCATGTAATTTGCGTCAGTAAATCCACACATTTTATTACTGTGTTTGAGTGTGCCTCCATTTGTGATTTTCTCTATGAGCATACATTTCTGGCTACAAACGATATATGATACACCCACTGAACTGCATTGCTGGGGTGCAGATATAATAACCCAGCTGGCGACCTTGCTAAGAGGAAGATAGAGAAGACAGGCGGGAAAGGAGTTCCTGCAACCTTTTTTTTTGTCTGGCAGGCAAGACTCAGGGAGGTTATGGTTATAGGTAAGCCTGAGTCTTCCTTCACTCCCCCACGGGTCTAGGCCGGAACTGTTAACAGCAGTTTCCCCGTGGTTGACTGAAGGGCTTCCAGGGTGAATCAGTGGCACCCCTTTGTGGTGGAAGCAAAGACCTGCGGAGGTGGGCATTGTTGGTCCTATCTTGTGTGACCAAGGAGACTCCGGTGAATCCAGGGAGTCGGAGGGGCTGAGTATTTGGGCCCTTTGAGCCCCTAGCAGCCGAGTGTTAGCAGAGCCCCGGACCGCCCACCCCCACGTGACAACCCATAGTAGGAAAACAGCATGTAAAGGATTTGGGAATAATAATGTCTGACGACCTAACGTTTAAGGAGCATAACCAAGCAAATATTGCGACAGCCAGAAAAATGATAGGATGGATTACGAGAACTTTCAAATCCAGGGATCCCACCACAATGGTTGTACTCTTCAAGTCACTTGTGTTGTCCCGTCTTGAGTACTGCTCAGTACTCACTTCCCCCTTCAGAGCAAGAGAGACTGCTGAAATAGAGGAATACAGAGAACATATACGGCACGCATAGACGAGATAAAGCACCTAAATTATTGGGATCGTCTCAAAGCCCTCCAAATGTACTCACTAGAAAGAAGACGAGAGAGATATCAAATAATATACACCTGGAAGATACTGGAGGGCCAAGTACCAAATCTACACAGTAAAATAACAACGTACTGGAGTGAACGACATGGAAGAAAATGTAGAATAGAACCAGTGAAGAGCAGAGGTGCCATAGGCACAATCAGAGAACACTGTATAAACATCAGAGGTCCGCGGTTGTTCAACGTCCTCCCAGCGAGCATAAGAAATATTGCCGGAACAACCGTGGACATTTTCAAGAGGAAACTAGATTTATTCCTCCAAGGAGTGCCGGACCAACTGGGCTGTGGTGGGTATGTGGGCCTGCGGGCCGCTCCAAACAATAGCCTGGTGGACCAAACTCTCACAAGTCGAGCCTGGCCTCGGGCCGGGCTTGGGGAGTAGAAGAACTCCCAGAACCCCATCAACCAGGTAACCAGGTATCACACACACACACACACACACACACACACACACACACACACACACACACACACACACACACACACACACACACACACACACACACCCACACACACCCACACACACACACACACACAGAGCAGAGAGTTACGGTGAGGGGTGAGACCTCCGATTGGCGTGAAGTCACCAGTGGAGTCCCACAGGGCTCTGTACTCGGTCCTATCTTGTTTCTGATATATGTAAATGATCTCCCGGAGGGTATCGATTCATTTCTCTCAATGTTTGCGGACGATGCCAAAATTATGAGAAGGATTAAAACAGAAGAGGACTGTTTGAGGCTTCAAGAAGACCTAGACAAGCTGAAGGAATGGTCGAACAAATGGTTGTTAGAGTTTAACCCAACCAAATGTAATGTAATGAAGATAGGTGTAGGGAGCAGGAGGCCAGATACAAGGTATCGTCTAGGAGAGGAAATTCTTCAGGAGTCAGAGAAGGAAAAAGACTTGGGGGTTGATATCACGCCAGACCTGTCTCCTGCAGCACATATCAAGCGGATAACATCAGCGGCATATGCCAGGCTGGCCAACATACGAACGGCATTCAGAAACTTGTGTAAAGAATCATTCAGAACTTTGTATACCACATATGTCAGGCCAATTCTGGAGTATGCAGCCCCAGCATGGAGTCCATATCTAGTCAAGGATAAGACTAAACTGGAAAAGGTTCAAAGGTTTGCCACCAGACTAGTACCCGAGCTGAGAGGTATGAGCTACGAGGAGAGACTACGGGAATTAAACCTCACTTCGCTGGAAGACAGAAGAGTTAGGGGGGACATGATCACCACATTCAAGATTCTGAAGGGAATTGATAGGGTAGATAAAGACAGTCTATTTAACACAAGGGGAACACGCACAAGGGGACACAGGTGGAAACTGAGTGCCCAAATGAGCCACAGAGATATTAGAAAGAACTTTTTTAGTGTCAGAGTGGTTGACAAATGGAATGCATTAGGGGGTGATGTGGTGGAGGCTCACTCCATACACAGTTTCAAGTGTAGATATGACAGAGCCCGATAGGCTCAGGAATCTGTACACCTGTTGATTGACGGTTGAGAGGCGGGACCAAAGAGCCAGAGCTCAACCCCCGCAAACACAACTAGGTGAGTACAACTAGGTGAGTACACACACACACACACACACACACACACACACACACACACACAGCGGGACCAAGGAGCCAGAGCTCAACCCCAGCAAGCACAAACAGGGGAATACATACCCACAGTATACATAGCCAAGCAGGAAGCAATTTATATCTACACAATAAGATCTGTTTGTGGCAGGTTGGAGGTCCGAGGCTTAGGGCTAGCCTCACCCAACCTTCACACGTCAAGCATGAGCGGTTGGGCAGTGTTAAGGGTCAGTCCGGGGGAATGGGAGGGGGGGGGGGAAGGGGAGCCACACCTGCAGGGGGGCACCAGGGGAGCCACACCTGCAGGGGGGCACCAGGGGAGCCACACCTGCAGGGGGCACCAGGGAAGCCACACCTGCAGGGAGCACCAGGGGAGCCACACCTGCAGGGTGCACCAGGGGAGCCACACCTGCAGGGGACACCAGGGGAGCCACACCTGCAGGGGACACCAGGGGAGTCACACCTGCAGGGGACACCAGGGGAGCCACACCTGCAGGGTGCACCAGGGGAGCCACACCTGCAGGGGGCACCAGGGGAGCCACACCTGCAGGGGACACCAGGGGAGCCACACCTGCAGGGGACACCAGGGGAGTCACACCTGCAGGGGACACCAGGGGAGTCACACCTGCAGGGGGGCACCAGGGGAGCCACACCTGCAGGGGGCACCAGGGGAGCCACACCTGCAGGGGACACCAGGGGAGCCACACCTGCAGGGGACACCAGGGGAGTCACACCTGCAGGGGGCACCAGGGGAGTCACACCTGCAGGGGGGCACCAGGGGAGCCACACCTGCAGGGGGCACCAGGGGAGCCACACCTGCAGGGGGCACCAGGGGAGCCACACCTGCAGGGGGCACCAGGGGAGCCACACCTGCAGGGGGGCACCAGGGGAGCCACACCTGCAGGGGGCACCAGGGGAGCCACACCTACAGGGGGCACCAGGGGAGCCACACCTGCAGGGGGCACCAGAGGAGCCACACCTGCAGGGGGCACCAGGGGAGCCACACCTGCAGGGGGCACCAGAGGAGCCACACCTGCAGGGGGGCACCAGGGGAGCCACACCTGCAGGGGGGCACCAGAGTTGCCACACCTGCAGGGGGCACCAGGAGAGCCACACCTGCAAGGGGGCACCAGGGGAGCCACACCTGCAGGGGGCACCAGGGGGGCCACACCTGCAGGGGGCACCAGGGGAGCCACACCTGCAGGGGGCACCAGGGGAGCCACACCTGCCATAAACGCCCAAGAAGGAAAGGTCAACGTTGTAGTCTGACACGGTGTGGCTCTGGTCCCTGCCACACCCCACCACCAGTGTGGCTCTGGTCCCTGCCACACCCCACCACCAGTGTGGCTCTGGTCCCTGCCACACCCCACCACCAGTGTGGCTCTGGTCCCTGCCACACCCCACCACCAGTGTGGCTCTGGCCCCTGCCACACCCCACCACCAGTGTGGCTCTGGTCCCTGCCACACCCCACCACCACCAGTGTGGCTCTGGTCCCTGCCACACCCCACCACCACCAGTGTGGCTCTGGCCCCTGCCACACCCCACCACCAGTGTGGCTCTGGTCCCTGCCACACCCCACCACCACCAGTGTGGCTCTGGCCCCTGCCACACCCCACCACCAGTGTGGCTCTGGTCCCTGCCACACCCCACCACCACCAGTGTGGCTCTGGCCCCTGCCACACCCCACCACCAGTGTGGCTCTGGTCCCTGCCACACCCCACCACCACCAGTGTGGCTCTGGCCCCTGCCACACCCCACCACCAGTGTGGCTCTGGTCCCTGCCACACCCCACCACCAGTGTGGCTCTGGTCCCTGCCACACCCCACCACCACCAGTGTGGCTCTGGTCCCTGCCACACCCCACCACCACCAGTGTGGCTCTGGCCCCTACCACACCCCACCACCAGTGTGGCTCTGGTCCCTGCCACACCCCACCACCAGTGTGGCTCTGGTCCCTGTGAGAAACACGGCCACCACTCACCAGGGGTATCAGCTTCACACACTACTTGTGCCTTATATGGAGGTAATCTAACCTGCTCCGCCAACCATTTGATCACCATACACGGCCAAGCTATTGTTATGGCGGGAGGTGAGGCGTCGTAGCGGGCGGTGAGGCGTGGTAGCGGGCGGTGAGGCGTCGTAGCGGGCGGTGAGGCGTCGTAGCGGGCGGTGAGGCGTCGTAGCGGGAGGTGAGGCGTGGTAGCGGGAGGTGAGGCGTGGTAGCGGGCGGTGAGGCGTCGTAGCGGGCGGTGAGGCGTCGTAGCGGGCGGTGAGGCGTCGTAGCAGGCGGTGAGGCGTCGTAGCAGGCGGTGAGGCGTGGTAGCGGGAGGTGAGGCGTGGTAGCGGGCGGTGAGGCGTCGTAGCAGGCGGTGAGGCGTGGTAGCGGGCGGTGAGGCGTCGTAGCAGGCGGTGAGGCGTGGTAGCGGGAGGTGAGGCGTGGTAGCGGGCGGTGAGGCGTCGTAGCAGGCGGTGAGGCGTGGTAGCGGGCGGTGAGGCGTCGTAGCAGGCGGTGAGGCGTGGTAGCGGGCGGTGAGGCGTCGTAGCAGGCGGTGAGGCGTGGTAGCGGGAGGTGAGGCGTGGTAGCGGGCGGTGAGGCGTGGTAGCGGGCGGTGAGGCGTCGTAGCGGGCGGTGAGGCGTGGTAGCGGGCGGTGAGGCGTCGTAGCAGGCGGTGAGGCGTGGTAGCGGGCGGTGAGGCGTCGTAGCAGGCGGTGAGGCGTGGTAGCGGGCGGTGAGGCGTCGTAGCAGGCGGTGAGGCGTGGTAGCGGGAGGTGAGGCGTGGTAGCGGGCGGTGAGGCGTGGTAGCGGGCGGTGAGGCGTCGTAGCGGGCGGTGAGGCGTGGTAGCGGGAGGTGAGGCGTCGTAGCAGGCGGTGAGGCGTCGTAGCGGGAGGTGAGGCGTCGTAGCGGGCGGTGAGGCGTGGTAGCGGGAGGTGAGGCGTCGTAGCGGGCGGTGAGGCGTCGTAGCGGGAGGTGAGGCGTCGTAGCAGGCGGTGAGGCGTGGTAGCGGGAGGTGAGGCGTGGTAGCGGGCGGTGAGGCGTGGTAGCGGGCGGTGAGGCGTGGTAGCGGGAGGTGAGGCGTGGTAGCGGGAGGTGAGGCGTCGTAGCAGGCGGTGAGGCGTGGTAGCGGGCGGTGAGGCGTCGTAGCAGGCGGTGAGGCGTGGTAGCGGGAGGTGAGGCGTCGTAGCAGGCGGTGAGGCGTGGTAGCAGGCGGTGAGGCGTGGTAGCGGGAGGTGAGGCGTGGTAGCGGGAGGTGAGGCGTCGTAGCGGGAGGTGAGGCGTGGTAGCAGGCGGTGAGGCGTCGTAGCGGGAGGTGAGGCGTGGTAGCGGGAGGTGAGGCGTCGTAGCGGGCGGTGAGGCGTGGTAGCGGGCGGTGAGGCGTGGTAGCGGGAGGTGAGGCGTGGTAGCGGGAGGTGAGGCGTGGTAGCGGGAGGTGAGGCGTCGTAGCGGGCGGTGAGGCGTCGTAGCAGGCGGTGAGGCGTGGTAGCGGGAGGTGAGGCGTCGTAGCGGGCGGTGAGGCGTGGTAGCGGGCGGTGAGGCGTGGTAGCGGGAGGTGAGGCGTGGTAGCGGGAGGTGAGGCGTGGTAGCGGGAGGTGAGGCGTCGTAGCAGGCGGTGAGGCGTGGTAGCGGGCGGTGAGGCGTCGTAGCGGGAGGTGAGGCGTGGTAGCGGGAGGTGAGGCGTCGTAGCGGGAGGTGAGGCGTGGTAGCGGGAGGTGAGGCGTCGTAGCGGGAGGTGAGGCGTGGTAGCGGGAGGTGAGGCGTGGTAGCGGGAGGTGAGGCGTGGTAGCGGGAGGTGAGGCGTCGTAGCGGGAGGTGAGGCGTGGTAGCGGGAGGTGAGGCGTGGTAGCGGGCGGTGAGGCGTCGTAGCAGGCGGTGAGGCGTGGTAGCGGGAGGTGAGGCGTGGTAGCGGGAGGTGAGGCGTGGTAGCGGGAGGTGAGGCGTGGTAGCGGGAGGTGAGGCGTGGTAGCGGGAGGTGAGGCGTCGTAGCAGGCGGTGAGGCGTGGTAGCGGGCGGTGAGGCGTCGTAGCGGGAGGTGAGGCGTGGTAGCGGGAGGTGAGGCGTCGTAGCGGGAGGTGAGGCGTGGTAGCGGGAGGTGAGGCGTCGTAGCGGGAGGTGAGGCGTGGTAGCAGGCGGTGAGGCGTCGTAGCGGGCGGTGAGGCGTGGTAGCGGGCGGTGAGGCGTGGTAGCGGGCGGTGAGGCGTCGTAGCAGGCGGTGAGGCGTGGTAGCGGGCGGTGAGGCGTCGTAGCAGGCGGTGAGGCGTCGTAGCGGGAGGTGAGGCGTCGTAGCAGGCGGTGAGGCGTCGTAGCGGGAGGTGAGGCGTCGTAGCAGGCGGTGAGGCGTCGTAGCGGGAGGTGAGGCGTCGTAGCATGACCGTCAGCGCCACCGCGACACCAGTGACCCACGGTGGGCGCCGCTACACCAGTGACCCACGGTGGGCGCCGCGACACCAGTGACCCACGGTGGGCGCCGCTACACCAGTGACCCACGGTGGGCGCCGCTACACCAGTGACCCACGGTGGGCGCCGCGTCACCAGTGACCCACGGTGGGCGCCGCGTCACCAGTGACCCACGGTGGGCGCCGCGTCACCAGTGACCCACGGTGGGCGCCGCTACACCAGTGACCCACGGTGGGCGCCGCTACACCAGTGACCCACGGTGGGCGCCGCTACACCAGTGACCCACGGTGGGCGCCGCTACACCAGTGACCCACGGTGGGCGCCGCTACACCAGTGACCCACGGTGGGCGCCGCTACACCAGTGACCCACGGTGGGCGCCGCTACACCAGTGACCCACGGTGGGCGCCGCGTCACCAGTGACCCACGGTGGGCGCCGCGTCACCAGTGACCCACGGTGGGCGCCGCTACACCAGTGACCCACGGTGGGCGCTGCTACACCAGTGACCCACGGTGGGCGCCGCTACACCAGTGACCCACGGTGGGCGCCGCTACACCAGTGACCCACGGTGGGCGCCGCTACACCAGTGACCCACGGTGGGCGCCGCGTCACCAGTGACCCACGGTGGGCGCCGCTACACCAGTGACCCACGGTGGGCGCCGCTACACCAGTGACCCACGGTGGGCGCCGCTACACCAGTGACCCACGGTGGGCGCCGCTACACCAGTGACCCACGGTGGGCGCCGCGTCACCAGTGACCCACGGTGGGCGCCGCGTCACCAGTGACCCACGGTGGGCGCCGCTACACCAGTGACCCACGGTGGGCGCCGCTACACCAGTGACCCACGGTGGGCGCCGCTACACCAGTGACCCACGGTGGGCGCCGCTACACCAGTGACCCACGGTGGGCGCCGCTACACCAGTGACCCACGGTGGGCGCCGCGACACCAGTGACCCACGGTGGGCGCCGCTACACCAGTGACCCACGGTGGGCGCCGCTACACCAGTGACCCACGGTGGGCGCCGCGACACCAGTGACCCACGGTGGGCGCCGCTACACCAGTGACCCACGGTGGGCGCCGCGACACCAGTGACCCACGGTGGGCGCCGCTACACCAGTGACCCACGGTGGGCGCCGCTACACCAGTGACCCACGGTGGGCGCCGCTACACCAGTGACCCACGGTGGGCGCCGCTACACCAGTGACCCACGGTGGGCGCCGCTACACCAGTGACCCACGGTGGGCGCCGCTACACCAGTGACCCACGGTGGGCGCCGCTACACCAGTGACCCACGGTGGGCGCCGCTACACCAGTGACCCACGGTGGGCGCCGCGTCACCAGTGACCCACGGTGGGCGCCGCGTCACCAGTGACCCACGGTGGGCGCCGCTACACCAGTGACCCACGGTGGGCGCCGCTACACCAGTGACCCACGGTGGGCGCCGCTACACCAGTGACCCACGGTGGGCGCCGCTACACCAGTGACCCACGGTGGGCGCCGCTACACCAGTGACCCACGGTGGGCGCCGCGTCACCAGTGACCCACGGTGGGCGCCGCTACACCAGTGACCCACGGTGGGCGCCGCTACACCAGTGACCCACGGTGGGCGCCGCTACACCAGTGACCCACGGTGGGCGCCGCGTCACCAGTGACCCACGGTGGGCGCCGCGTCACCAGTGACCCACGGTGGGCGCCGCGTCACCAGTGACCCACGGTGGGCGCCGCTACACCAGTGACCCACGGTGGGCGCCGCTACACTTGCCCCGGGGATTGGATCACTTCCTGCACCTCGTCAACATCCCCCACACTCCCGTCAGCCTCAATAATCTCACGTACCACCACAAAATCCTGGGAGTAGCACGGTGGACTCGAACCCGCGGCCTGTAGGTCCCCCTCACCACTACCTGCAGCTGGCACTGGACCTGACTTCATGTGGCTTGGTTGCTTCCCGTCTAGTTTTACTAACCCGGAAGGGAGTAATAAAGGCAGTAAAGTTACTATAAGGGAGCCTCTCGGCCGAGCGGACAGCACACTGTACTTGTGATCCTGTTGTCCCGGGTTCGATTTCAAGGGCCGACGAGAAACAATGGGCAGAGTTTCATTCACCCTATGCCCCTGTTACCTAGCAGTAATATAGGTACCTGGGAGTTAGTCAGCTGTCATGGGCTGCTTCCTGGGAGTGGAGGCCTGGTCGAGGACCGGGCCGCGGGGACACTAAAGCCCCGAAATCATCTCAAGATAACCCCTGACCGGTGCCTCTAATTACCCAAAGCTACCTAAATTTACTCAAAGCTTCCCAAAGCTTCCTAGCATTACGTAAGTAATGAAGAAATGTGATACATTTACTATATTGTTGGTGTTGAAGGTAGAACACGAAAAAAAACTCTTTTTACTCTGAAATAATATATATTTATAACGAAATTAGACGAAACTAAGTGGCGTGAGAGGCCATAGGAAGCCGACGATCCGAGCGACAATGTTGTGGAGCGACTTATCCAAGATGAACAAATTATTCAAGATATATTGTTGCCTAGAGGTTATATTAAGTTATGTTTGGATAGGTTAGGTCAGGATATGTTTGGGTAGGTTGGTTAGGTTAGGTAGGTACAGGTTAGGTAGATACAGGTTAGGTTAGGTAGATGCAGGTTAGGTTAGGTTAGGTACAGGTTACGTTAGTTAGGTTAGGTAGGTACAAGAGGCTCATACGCCAGCCATCATTGTCGCTTGGACCGTCGACTTCCTTTGGCGTCACCAGCTTCTTATTTTCGTCTAATTTCGTTATAAAATGATACTTTTTCAGAATAAAAAATATGTTTTTCATGTTCTACATTCACCACCAACATTACAATGAATAAATATATTATATTTATTCATTACTAACGTGATTGGGTAGCTTTGGGTAATTAGACGGACCCCCCCTGACTACCACTAACCTGGGTTTACCTCACATGTATACAACTAACCTGGGTTTACCTCACCTACCACTAACCTGGGTTTACCTCACCCGTCTAGCCTTAGGTAGTGCGGGTGTGGCCGAGCCAGACCTACAGGGTGGCCAAGCTTTGACCGGGAGGTTGTCTTGACAGCACTGTCAACTGTCTTAACGACAGAGTCCACTGACGGAGGAATACACCGAGTCATTGTCCCTTTTGGCATGTTGTGTCAAGGGAAGAATGATTTATGTGACGGTTAGACGCGTAAGGATACGAGAGATGACATTGACGAAGATAATCCCCAGCAGAACTGCATTGTGATAAGTTCACATTAACATACAGTAAAAGGCTTTTACCTTCAGGTTTCTCGTGTTCACTATAAAAGGCAGGAGACGCCCTCAACACGTTCTTCCAACTGCTGCCACCTCCACCAGTCTCTGGAGAGCAGCACTGTTTCTGACCTGCAGTGGGGACGGTGCTTAGTTCTTGTTATTGACGCGCGGACCGCCTCAATGGTTTCACTTACGTACAATGTTTTCAACATGTGAGCTAGTATCACGCACGCACACGCGCGCGCGGGCACACACACACACACACACACACACACACACACACACACACACACACACACACACACACACACACACACACACAGGGAGACCTGGGGAGCGAAGCTGGTAGACGTTATTGACAGGAATTTCCTAACACAGCATGTGAAAGAAGATACTAGGGAAAGAGGAGGGGATACGCCCAGCCTATTAGATCTCATTATCACTCAGAATGTAGAAGACATCGAGCAGTTGGAACATGAAATGCCACTAGGAGCTAGTGACCATTGTGTCCTAGCCTTTGACTACATGATGGAGCTTAAAATTGTGACCAAGGGACAAGAGGTTCGGGAAAGGAGACTTGATTACAGAAAAGGGGACTACAGAAGGATAAGGGACTACCTGGGAGAAGTGCAGTGGGAGGAAGAACTTAGAGGAAAAACAGTGCAAGGTATGATGAACCAAGTCATATTGAAATGCAAGGAGGCTGAAGATAGATTTATTCCAACAATAAAGGAAAAAAGCAGGAGGGAATATAATAACCCATGGTTTAATAGACAGTGTCAGGAAGCAAAGGTGAGAAGCAGGAGGGAGTGGAGGAAGTACAGAAGGCAAAGGACAGAGGACAACAGGATTAGATGTAACAGAGCTAGGAATGATTACATTAACATAAGACGAGTGTCGGAAAGAAATTATGAGAACGATATTGCAGTCAAAGCGAAAAAGCAACCAAAATTACTACATAGCCATATAAGAAGGAAGATGTCGGTAAATGCCCAAGTGACAAGACTGAGGAAAACAGAGGGGGCATATACAGAAAGCGACAAGGAAATCTGCGAGGTACTGAATGCAAAATTCCATGGAGTGTTCACAACCGAGCCTGAGCAGCTCCCATTGTTAGAAGAGATTACCAAAGATGAAAGACTATCGGATATAGAGGTGACAGCAGAGGATGTAATGAAACAGTTGACAACACTGGATGCAAATAAAGCTGTTGGACCAGACAAAGTATCACCGTGGATACTTAAAGAGGCAGCGCAGGCTCTCAGCGTGCCTCTGGCAATGATCTTCAATGAGTCACTTATGTCGGGAGAATTGCCCAGTTGCTGGAAGGAGGCAAATGTCGTACCGATTTTCAAAAAGGGGGATAGGGAGGAGGCACTTAACTACAGACCCGTATCACTGACAAGCATCCCCTGCAAAATACTTGAAAGAATAATTAGGCTAAGACTTGTTGAGCACCTGGAGAGCATTGGGTTTGTAAACAAGCACCAACATGGGTTCTGGACAGGGAAATCATGCCTAACAAACCTTTTAGAATTCTATGATAAAGTAACAAGGATAAGGCAGGACAGAGAAGGCTGGGCAGACTGCATATTTCTTGACTGCCAAAAGGCCTTTGATACGGTACCGCACATGAGACTGCTATACAAACTTGAGAGGCAGGCAGGAGTAAGCGGAAAGGCCCTAGTATGGGTGAAGAACTACCTAACAGGAAGGAGCCAGAGGGTAATGGTAAGGGGCGAAAAGTCGGACTGGCGAACAGTAACAAGTGGAGTACCTCAAGGATCGGTGCTGGGACCAATCCTCTTTCTAATTTATGTAAATGATATGTTTACAGGAGTGGAATCATACATGTCGATGTTTGCAGATGACGCAAAATTAATGAGAAGAGTTGTGACAGACGAGGATTGTAGGATCCTCCAAGAGGACTTAAACAGGCTGCAGAGATGGTCAGAGAAATGGCTACTGGAGTTTAACACCAGTAAATGTAAAGTTATGGAAATGGGATCAGGTGACAGGAGACCAAAGGGACAGTACACAATGAAGGGGAACAGCCTACCTGTAACGATTCGAGAAAGAGACCTGGGAGTGGATGTGACACCTAATCTAACTCCTGAGGCACATATAAATAGGATAACGACAGCAGCGTACTCTACACTGGCGAAAATTAGAACTTCATTCAGAAACCTAAATGAGGAAGCTTTTAGGGCGCTTTACACTGCCTACGTGAGACCCGTCTTAGAGTATGCCGCGCCATCATGGAGCCCCCACCTGAAGAAACACATAAAGAAACTGGAGAAGGTTCAGAGGTTTGCGACGAGGCTTGTCCCAGAGCTACGAGGGATGGGATATGAAGAGCGGCTGAAGGAACTGAACCTTACGACACTAGAGAAAAGAAGGGAGAGAGGAGATATGATAGGGACATATAAAATACTCAGGGGAATTGACAAAGTGGAAATAGATCAAATGTTCACACGTAATAATAACAGAACGAGGGGACATGGGTGGAAACTGGAAACTCAGATGTGTCACAGAGATGTTAGGAAGTTTTCTTTTAGCGTGAGAGTAGTAGAAAAATGGAATGCACTTGGGGAACAGGTTGTGGAAGCAAATACTATTCATACTTTTAAAACTAGGTATGATAGGGAAATGGGACAGGAGTCATTGCTGTAAACAACCGATAGCTAGAAAGGCGGGATCCAAGAGTCAATGCTCGATCCTGCAAGCACATATAGGTGAGTACATATAGGTGAGTACACACACACACACACACACACACACACAGAATGTGGGCTTCTGTCTCCTGAAGCCCACATAAAAAGAATAAAATCAGCGGCATATGCGAGGCTGGCTAACATCAGAACAGCGTTCAGGAACCTGTGTAAGGAATCATTCAGAATCTTGTACACCACATATGTAAGACCGATCCTGGAGTATGCAGCCCCAGCATGGAGCCCGTACCTTGTCAAGCACAAGACGAAGCTGGAAAAAGTCCAAAGGTATGCCACTAGACTAGTCCCAGAACTAAGAGGCATGAGTTATGAGGAAAGGCTGCGGGAAATGCAGCTTACGACACTGGAAGACAGAACAGTAAAGGGACACATGATCACAACCTACAAAATCCGCAGAGGAATCGACCGGGTAAACAAGGATAAACTATTCAACACTGGTGGGACGCGAACAAGGGGACACAGGTGGAGACTGAGTACCCACATGAGCCACAGAGACGTTAGAAGGAACTTTTTCAGTGTCAGAGTAGTTAACAGGTGGAATGCATTAGGCAGTGATGTGGTGGAGGCTGACTCCATACACAGTTTCAAGTGTAGATATGATAGAGCCCAATAGGCTCAGGAACCTGTACACCTGTTGATTGACAGTTGAGAGGCGGGACCAAAGAGCCAGAGCTCAACCCCCGCAAGCACAACTAGTTGAGTACACACAGACACGCACACACACATTGTGAGAACAGGTTACATAGCTCGGTGCTCAGAGCAGTGAGCTTCAAACACAGCTCCCAGGATAATATTGAGACAGTGCCCATGATAAGTTGATGTCATTAATGCTGTCACCACTCCTCATTAATGTAAGTAATATACTAATTGCTGTACTTAGTACCGTCTTCACCAGAGGAGACTAATCACCAATATGAAATAAGAAGGATTGGAGGCCAACCTGGCCTCCTGAGAGGTGGGACACATGGCCTGAGAGGTGGGACACATGGTCTCCTGAGAGGTGGGACACATGGCCTCCTGAGAGGTGGGACACATGGCCTCCTGAGAGGTGGGACACATGGCCTCCTGAGAGGTGGGACACATGGCCTCCTAAGAGGTGGGACACATGGCCTCCTGAGAGGTGGGACACATGGCCTCCTGAGAGGTGAGACACATGGCCTCCTGAGAGGTGAGACACATGGCCTTGTTTCCTAGTTACGCTGCTGCTCAACCTTACTATCCTCTCTCTATTGCTTTGATATCCCTGTGTATTTTGAATATCAGGATCATGTTCCCTCTCTCTCTCCCTCCAGTGTCATTAGGTTCAGTCCGGGCCCTGATTAGGTTCAGTTGTGGTGCACGGGAGGCCAAGATGAGGTGGGGAGTGTTGCTGGCAGTAACAGGCAAGTGGGCCAGCTGAGAGTGGGCGTCAGGCCGCCCACCAACCCATCCATCACCTTGAAAATCAATCACATAAAAGATTCACACGACAGCTTAACCAGAGGCCACTCTGGGCCCTCAACTTTACTGTCATGTGTTCCATGTGTTCCTCCACACCCCTGGTGCTGGTGGGGACAGTGTCCACCACCACCCTGGTGCTGGTGGGGACAGTGTCCACCACCACCCTGGTGCTGGTGGGGACAGTGTCCACCACCACACCCCTGGTGCTGGTGGGGACAGTGTCCACCACCACCCTGGTGCTGGTGGGGACAGTGTCCACCACCACCCTGGTGCTGGTGGGGACAGTGTCCACCACCACACCCCTGGTGCTGGTGGGGACAGTGTCCACCACACCCCTGGTGCTGGTGGGGACAGTGTCCACCACCACACCCCTGGTGCTGGTGGGGACAGTGTCCACCACCACCACCCTGGTGCTGGTGGGGACAGTGTCCACCACCACCACCCTGGTGCTGGTGGGGACAGTGTCCACCACCACACCCCTGGTGCTGGTGGGGACAGTGTCCACCACCACACCCCTGGTGCTGGTGGGGACAGTGTCCACCACCACCACCCTGGTGCTGGTGGGGACAGTGTCCACCACACCCCTGGTGCTGGTGGGGACAGTGTCCACCACCACACCCCTGGTGCTGGTGGGGACAGTGTCCACCACCACACCCCTGGTGCTGGTGGGGACAGTGTCCACCACCACCCTGGTGCTGGTGGGGACAGTGTCCACCACCACACCCCTGGTGCTGGTGGGGACAGTGTCCACCACACCCCTGGTGCTGGTGGGGACAGTGTCCACCACCACCCCTGGTGCTGGTGGGGACATTGTCCACCACACCCCTGGTGCTGGTGGGGACAGTGTCCACCACCACACCCCTGGTGCTGGTGGGGACAGTGTCCACCACACCCCTGGTGCTGGTGGGGACAGTGTCCACCACCACACCCCTGGTGCTGGTGGGGACAGTGTCCACCACCACACCCCTGGTGCTGGTGGGGACAGTGTCCACCACCACCCTGGTGCTGGTGGGGACAGTGTCCACCACCACACCCCTGGTGCTGGTGGGGACAGTGTCCACCACCACACCCCTGGTGCTGGTGGGGACAGTGTCCACCACCACACCCTGGTGCTGGTGGGGACAGTGTCCACCACCACCCTGGTGCTGGTGGGGACAGTGTCCACCACCACCCCTGGTGCTGGTGGGGACAGTGTCCACCACCACCCTGGTGCTGGTGGGGACAGTGTCCACCACCACCCTGGTGCTGGTGGGGACAGTGTCCACCACCCCTGGTGCTGGTGGGGACAGTGTCCACCACCACACCCCTGGTGCTGGTGGGGACAGTGTCCACCACCACCCTGGTGCTGGTGGGGGGTCACCCTCCACACTGGACCAGCACCAAGGTCACCCTCCACACTGGACCAGAGCACTAAGGTCACCCTCCACACTGGACCAGCACCAAGGTCACCCTCCACACTGGACCAGCACCAAGGTCACCCTCCACACTGGACCAGTACCAAGGTCACCCTCCACACTGGACCAGAGCACCAAGGTCACCCTCCACACTGGACCAGCACCAAGGTCACCCTCCACACTGGACCAGCACCAAGGTCACCCTCCACACTGGACCAGCACCAAGGTCACCCTCCACACTGGACCAGCACCAAGGTCACCCTCCACACTGGACCAGCACCAAGGTCACCCTCCACACTGGACCAGCACCAAGGTCACCCTCCACACTGGACCAGAGCACCAAGGTCACCCTCCACACTGGACCAGATCACCAAGGTCACCCTCCACACTGGACCAGAGCACCAAGGTCACCCTCCACACTGGACCAGAGCACCAAGGTCACCCTCCACACTGGACCAGCACCAAGGTCACCCTCCACACTGGACGAACACCAAGGTCACCCTCCACACTGGACCAGAGCACCAAGGTCACCCTCCACACTGGACCAGCACCAAGGTCACCCTCCACACTGGACCAGCACCAAGGTCACCCTCCACACTGGACCAGCACCAAGGTCACCCTCCACACTGGACCAGCACCAAGGTCACCCTCCACACTGGACGAACACCAAGGTCACCCTCCACACTGGACCAGAGCACCAAGGTCACCCTCCACACTGGACCAGCACCAAGGTCACCCTCCACACTGGACCAGCACCAAGGTCACCCTCCACACTGGACCAGAGCACCAAGGTCACCCTCCACACTGGACCAGCACCAAGGTCACCCTCCACACGACCAGAGCACCAAGGTCACCCTCCACACTGGACCAGCACCAAGGTCACCCTCCACACTGGACCAGCACCAAGGTCACCCTCCACACTGGCCACAGTTGACAGTGAATCAGCTGGTGTATAATGGACAAAATTGTGCGGGAAATAATGTAATCAAAGGGTGTGTTAGGCGACAATGGCAGGTGTGTGTTTACCCAGCCTGGGAACCTCTCACACCTGTCACTTCTCTTCCTCAACACACACTCACACACCATTTTCTCAACCTCGTGCAGGCCAGTCACTGTGTTTAACACACACTCAATAACCAAGCAGCAGTTAGGCACACTGAAGAACACCTCCACACACCGCCAACAACTCCACAATGAAACAACTGAACAAATTGAAGAACAAAATAGGTAAAGATCTGGGCACATAAATCATCAACCATTTCCTCCACAACCACTGACGAAACCTCTACATCACTCATTAATCATGGGGGGGTATTGTTCACATTTAAGTAACAGTTTAGGTGGTGGGACACCTCACAACCCAAGATTACTATTGTTACCAAGTCTTAACGTCTTAACGAGCCTTAAGGAACCCAAGTCACATAAAACAATTGAGTGTGAGTCTAAACTTCCTCACACTCAATTGTTGAGTGCATATTCTTCATGGTTAATGATCCAACATTTTCTTAATGGATCAACTTCATACCATGACAAGAAAAAAGTTAAAAATAAAACGAAAAAAATAATAAATCAATTTCAAATTGGTACGTCTTATAATGTGACCAATTGTTATTGTATTATACAACGTTCATTCTCCTCTGATACAATTATTGTTTAAGAATATACTTTATTGCAAACAAATAATTTGAATGTGGCCATCCAAAGGTGTCAAATGTATACCTTATAACTCCGCACTTTATGCCTAAACGCTTCAGAGTAAACCTTAGCAGTAAGAACTTTACACATCATGTGTAACAATGGTGAGACTCCGTCAGAAACTGAAGTTTCTATTACGTGTCACAGTTGAAAATGTTCTGTCATAGAGAAAAATACATTTAAACTTCTCTACGATGAATATAGTATTTCTTATTTATGTTATATCTTGTAAGTTTTAATTAAGATTGTTTGACATTCGTAGTGACAAATGTGTAAGTCAAGAAAAAATACCCCCCAAACAAACTAAATATATAGATGCGTTGTGGATAATTGTGAAACAGACACTAGGGGCCCTTAAATATGTAACAATAGGTTAGACATATATATATGAGATTGGGTGGATATAAATAGGAGCTGCATCGTATGGGCCAATAGGCCTCCTGTAGTTACCTTCATTCTTATATTCTCATAATGCAACATAGTTATTGCAGTAACTTTATTGCTCATAAAAGTGATAAGGCCCCTCATCTGGTCCTCATTGATCAATACAAGCTCAATACATTGATCAATACAAGCTAATTAAAAATAGAGAATAGATTATAAACTGTGTAAATAAATGAGCCCCCATAATAAGTGAGCCACCTGTGGCAGATTAACAGGTGACCAATATCGTGACAACTTCACATACTTAGTCCAGGATAAACATTCTCCAACATGTGCGTCACAACAACAAAAACAAATAAAAACAAATTGAAAAAGTGGTTGTCAACTTTCCGTCCAAAGGGACATAATAAATATTGTGATTGGACAATGTATTTATATATGATAAAATACAGCATAATAAGCAGGTGAGGAGTCACAATAACGTGGCTCAAGTGTGTTGACCAGACACACGTTTCGGTCCAGGACGGACCGAAACGTTGTCGTCCCTTCACTTCCTAGTGTGTGTTGATGTATCCTGCCCCAGACCAGCCGGAATGACCAGGATGATGACGGAACAATTAGTCCAGCTGGCCAGTGGTCCGGGCCACCAGCACCAGTGGTCCGGGCCACTAGCACCAGTGGTCCGGGCCACTAGCACCAGTGGTCCGGGCCACCAGCACCAGTGGTCCGGGCCACCAGCACCAGTGGTCCGGGCCACCAGTGGTCCGGGCCACCAGCGCCAGTGGGCCAGCCACCAGTGTGTCCAGCTGGCCAGTGGTCCGGGCCACCAGTGGTCCGGGCCACCAGCGCCAGTGGGCCGGCCACCAGTGTGTCCAGCTGGCCAGTGGTCCGGGCCACCAGCGCCAGTGGTCCGGGCCACCAGCGCCAGTGATCCGGCCACCAGTGGTCCGGGCCACCAGTGGTCCGGGCCACCAGCGCCAGTGGGCCGGCCACCAGTGTGTCCAGCTGGCCAGTGGTCCGGGCCACCAGTGGTCCGGGCCACCAGTGGGCCCCGCTATAAGGGCGGCGGGAAAGGTAGGCGGGAGAAAGAGAAAGTTTGGACGTGTTTTATTGCTAATAAAAACTGGTGTTAATAACTCCGTGCTAGAAGGTCACCAGTGACCACCCCTG